CAAGTAAATCGTCATTTTTTCATTCAAGTAAATGGTAATTTTTTCATGCAAGTAAATCGTCATTTTTTCATTCAAGTAAATCGTCATTTTTTCATCCAAGTAAATGGTAATTTTTTCATCCAAATAAATCGTCATTTCTTCATTCAAGTAAATGGTAATTTTTTCATTCAAGTAAATCGTCATTTTTTCGTCCGAGTAAATCCAAGTAAATCGTAAATATGTGACAAGCCCTAATCATTGATTATTCTCATTAATTCAATTACCGCACGTGACATAATGACATCCATAAATTTCAGATCGAGCGCGAAGTGGTGATTTCCTCAACCGACAAGAACACGAAAATTCCAATTCTACACGAGTACAAACGAACAACCGGAAGAGTGGCCATTGCTCCGGATGCACCGGTGAAACAACAGGCGTGGGTCCAGGAGGTGAGTAATTTCATTATCCCATAAATAATCACCCTCCAAAATAAAACACTCACTCCAAAAGAGAGAGTCAATTTCCTCGAATCTTCTTGGTCCAATGACCGAGAAAACGACTACTTCCAATTACAACTGCCTCAAAAATCCTATAATTAATTACAACAAATAATTATCTGAATATCCAGTGCTAGAACAACAACGAGTGCAACATTAATCCCCAAATCTATCGATTCTGTGAATTCCAAGTGCAAAAAGTTCCATTTGTGTTAATGAATAAGACAGTACCTGTCCCAGATATTGGACTCCTCGTCCTGGACAAGAGCATTGTGAAATAACATTGACAAAAAGTCGATTTGCCCCAGATTCCATTGACTAATACAATCGTGCCATTTCCCCCGATGCGAATGACCCCCCACAAGGATAATCGCTGACAAAAAAAAAGGCTCACAACCCCGTTAGTTACTCCCTAATACGCTATCATAATTTCTCTTTATTTTTCACGTGGACGTGCGAGAATAAAGGGTGGACTCGATGTTAACGAGTTATGAATGGTCATAACACCCATATGGATTGTCCTAGATCGCGTTAATGTCTGCACACGCGTGTTGTGAAAGGCTACGCCTTGTAACAACTATTTCCCTATAGGTTTATGTTTGACGTTACTCGTCTCGATGGTTCTCTGTATGACCAACTTTCCTGTTCTCTCCACTTACTACAGCTCACTTTACATATTGACGATACCTCGTTCGAGTTTATATTGGATTTCAACTATATGGTTGAAGTCTGAAGTTGCGTTTCAACCGAGTTTGAGGGGTTCGTTGTGTCTGGTGACGCGTCGAAATCATGACCATCATGGGGTGACCCAGTAATTATTTGACGGGTTCATGGGTTTGATCGGTTTTGGTCCGAGAATTTTTTCGCTTTTCCGAGGATTTCTCCCGATCAATCGTATTCATGTGAATTACTCTTACCTACCGTTTAAACTTATTTTATGTTGGCCTTGAATCCATGGTCCATATTTCCGTTCATATATCCATATTTCAGTTCATATATAGATTAATCAACAATCCGGTAAAAAAAAAATTGTAATCGGAATATTTTTTTTGAATTTTCAAAAAATTTCTGGAAGACTTTTCGGAAATTTTTTTTTTGAAAAAAATGGGGAAACAAAACAATTGTATTTTTGGGAAATGTTTTGAAAAATTTTTCAAAAATTTGTTTCGGAATATTTTTTTATATTTTCCAGAAATTTTTGCGAATATAATTTTTTTTAATTCTACTGTGGTTTTCTTACTTTTTTAATTTTTCAATATTCTCAAAAAATACGCCATCTAAATTAAAAAAATAATTTTCCTATTTAAGTTTTTGAAAAATTTTTCAAAACCTTTCCGAAAAATAAAATTATTTTGTTTTCCCATTTTTTTTTGATTTTATCAAAATACTTTTCTGAAAAGTTTTCCAGAAATTTTTTGAAAATTTGGAAAAAATATTCCGATTACATTTTTTTAGCCCGAGAATATATAATTCTATTTTATAAAAATATTCAATAATTTTCATATTTTTGTAGGAAATAACATTTAATCCTCGGTTCGTATAAAATATAAAAATCGTTTGAAAATAAATTTGCAAGAGAACTTCAACAGAAATTCCATTAACGAAGTTATAAACATGAAAACCATTTTCAATTTATCCACCATTTTTATGATCACTTGAAACACCTAGCATTTCACATTTACAAAACATCAATCCCTCCCCGATTGAATTGCCCATCTCCACGTCGCCACTTAGAGCATCTAAATGATTTTAAGACGTAAACAAGAAGAAAAAAAAAAGCAAACCATTAAATCCGGTCATAAACCAGAATTATTTTCCTCCAAACGCCATAAAATTCCACTGTGCAAATAATGCCTCATTCCTCGCAATACCAGAATACCAATCCCTATACCAATTATCCCGTGGGAGGTGAGCAATTGTCCCGCTAATGTAATAATTACGAAACTCGCGATGAAACAACTCATGAATATGAAGTATGAAAGAGAAATACCTTGCGGGATAGATAAGGGCGTACAAAGGAGCTGGTTTTTTTTTTCCCTCGTCGTAAAAATCGTGTGGAACTAGTAAAAGTAAATGGATTGCCCTGGGAATAAAATAAATGGACCAACCAGCTAGGACCCACTGGAGAGCTCTTTTACAACAAGAGTGTGTACTGCAACGAAACACTGGTCTTCTCGCATCCATTTTTATAATGCAACATTTTATCTTCGATTTTTATCTCTCCCGTGATCTTTTGTTTCTGGAAAGACGTGCTCTTCAACGACTACTTTTTCTAGCCATTTTTTTTTTTCTTTTCTTTCGTCACCTCACGGTTGGATGTCTCAGAGGGATCCGTATGCACAATGCGTTTTTAACGCCCACCGGACGGGAAGAGAGTCCTTTTTTTATTATTATTTTTTTTTACAAGTGAACTGTCAGTTGAGCTTTGCCACTTGTTATTCAAGGGGCACGGTCTTCTGAGGATTGCCCGTACGGGCGAGGATTTTCAAAATTTTCTTCGCCTCGGTGTATATTTCATGGCTGATGATGGGTGTGGGTGCATGTTTCCTTAGATGCATTATATGGCTGTTGGGTGAATCGTTACTGGGGCGATATTTGATCGGGTGCTATGCTCAACGACTGGAAATCATGGGGGAATTATCGCCTCCTCGATTTTATGGGGAATAAAGCTGATAGTGGAGTTCGAGGAAATCGAACGACCAACTGGCGCTTTGAGGACAAAAATTGATATTATTGGCAGATGAAAATATATTTTTCCTAGATATCCCACATTTATTGTAATGCGAAAAAAAATCACTTTGTTAAAAGTAGTTTGACTGGGCGAGGTGGAGGCGCCGCCATTATGAGGGGCTACGTGTCAAGATGGCGTCGTACGCGTTTTTTCACCACCTCGCAATTTCAATGATTTATTTAAATGATTTATTCACATTAAATGACTGACTCTTGGTCTTATCTGATTTCTGCGGAGTGAACAATTCTCTTGAGGAATTTTTCGTAAATTTTTTCGTTCCGGTTGAAAAATTCTCGATTTTAATCGAGTTAAACTTGAATTTCCAGGGTAATCAAGCGCAAGAGAGGCAAGAAGGTCATGCTCGAAACTTTCAGCCCCCAGAAATCCACTCGTAAGTTTCTCCCCCACGGCCCCTTAACCCAGGTCTCTAATCGAATAATTTTCGCTTTGATCAGGTCGACATCGACAGGAGCTGTGCCCCGCACACCAAAACCCGAAGAGGACCGCACTAAATCCCTCAGTAAGACTTATCACACAATCAAGGACATGATCTCAAGCCGCTTTGGTCCTTCTCGAAAGGACACCGACCCCGATCCCGAAGTGAGTCTCAATAATGTCACAGAGGAGCTGCGTAAATCCTCCCATAATATCGACGAGGATGATTCCAAGAAGAAGGAAATAGCTTATAGCAAACCCAGAGCGGATCCACCACCGATAAACATTCAGCATTACCCTAAAAATACTTATCAGCAGTATGGTCATCCTTATTACCAAAGTACCCAGCAAAATGTTGCAAGTCAACTGCAATCAGCTCCCCAAATTCAGCCTAGCCTTCCAGGTCAGAGTGCGCAGCTTCACGTAACTCATCTAACCCCTCCAGCAGGTGTTCAAACGGTGCATCAAACCCAAGTCTCAGCTTACAATCAGCCAGTACCCCCCAGAGGCGATTACGTGGTGCAAGGGCCAAGCGGGCACCCGATACATCAACACCAAAACATACCCCTAGGCAAACACGGTCTCCCGATGCAGCCCGTGTCTTCCAATTCGACTTACCAAAGCCCCCAGCAACTCCTCCACCAGTCCCAATTGCACCAGAACTCGAGATTCAACCAGCAACACGTCCAGAACATGCATCAACGTCAGTTAATCCAACAGATGCAACAGCAACAGCAGCAACTGGTTGTCGGCCAACAGAGTCCCAGAACCAATATGAGGACTCAGCAGCAGTTTCCGTCAGGTGTCTCCTACCAGCAGTACCAACAAGCCAGACAAACAATATCTCGATCCCAAATCGATCTACCGAGCACATCACGACAGGGTCTAGACGTGCGAATCGGTGGACAAGAAGTGTATTACCACTACAATCAGAACAGACCACGATTTCCAGGTACTCCACAGGTGTATATGAAACCAGATAACGACGTCGAGTTCCAGAGGCAGAGCTCGACCAGATGCATTGAGAAGGCAACGTCACAGCCTCAGCTGTGTTACGATGATGAGAGAAATTTGGACAGAAGACTCGATAAGAATGAGGAGAGCAAGAGCAATGATGGACTGCTCAGTGAGAAGTACGAGATCACCGTTGAGGACAGGTGTCAGGAGTTCACCAGAAGTGACAGTCAACGGAACGACGAATTCCGACCTGAAACGAGTTTTGGTAATCGTAAGGATGACGCACGCACCTCGAAGAAGGAGTCCGACGTGAGTCATGGTGAGGAGGTGACTAAGGATTCGGCTGTTCAGAAAAAAATTGCTGAAATTCAGAGGAGGGGGGAGAGCAAGGATTGCAGTGAGACTGATAATTCAAGGGGTGGGGCTAAGAATGGGGGACAGGTGAATGAGGCTGCCAAGAGAATTGAGGAGAGCAACCGTAGACTTGAGATGAGCTATCAGGGAAAGGAGGGGATCAGGGAGGGTGGGAGGAAGGAGGAAATGGACCACAGTATGGCGAGACTTAAAATTCAGAACCAGGGCTCTGGGTCGGATTATGACAAAGCTGGACAGAGCTCGAGTAATGTTGACTCGGGACGGGGATCTGCGGTTTACTCCAGCGGACGGAGGCCACCCCCGGAGGATCAGAGTCATCCGCAAGGTTGACATTTTTATCCTTTACTGGTTATTTATAGAGGATATTTGTTCGGGCATGTTTGCACATGACGTAAATTGGATTTTTTTTTGCCTTTTCCGTTTTTTCATTGCGATGTAACGGTCAGAGTTCATTCTCAGGATGAATACAATTTTCGTGGGAATGATTATCAATACCTGGTGATTGATTGATAGATAGAATAAATAAATAATGAATGGTTATAAATTTAGTCTTTTAAGTGAATATCGTCTGGGGTGTGAGAAAACCATTGGTGGGAGATTTCGAGAAGTGCAAGATCTCCCGCAATGGAATCAATGGAAATTTAAATCCAACACCGAATTCTTGGGGAATTTATTATTCACGATAAATAGAAGATGTAGAACTGGTTCCTGAGGGAGATGTAGTTGCATAGGATTAAAGATCGTCAGTCACATTGAATTTCGAAGAATTCGAATTGCGACGGGCGATTCTCAGGATCTGGTGCTTGCCTCTGTATATTTAATCCTTCACATACAAAGACACCCAACATTCACAGGAATCAATTTATCGATTCGATTCTCATCGATGTCATGCCCATAATAAAATCGCTCGGTGCAAATTTCTCAAAATTTTAATAATCACTCTTCATAAACCGAATCGAATGAAATTCAATATATAATATATAGGACAATATATAATATATAGGACAATATATACCCTAATTTAAATAATAGTTATTAATTTTTAAATTGGAACACGGGGATGTGCGAAATGTTTGAAAAAATGAATAGAATAAGTAAAATGGCAATACGATTCAATGTAGGATGACTGCTCTGTTGAATTAGGTCAAGACTCGGAATGGGTTGACATCGTGGAATCCGAGCTGCGTAGTATCCTAGAGCCAAGAGATGTACCAGCGATGGCCCACTCCACTCTCTCGGAGAGTGTTTCCTCTGTGACGCCTCCATTGCCGCCACTCTCCCCTCATGGGAGTCCACGTACACCCAGGAATCGATATTCAACAAGGTACTGAATAAATACAATGAGTTACCCTCTAGGTGACTAACTTATTATTTATATCTGGACATTAACTATTTTTAACAGTTTACCTTATGGAAGCAAACCGAATTATGGGGATTATGGGAAAGGCCAGGAGAAGAGGAACTTTCAAGGAAGTACCAAGCACCGGGGTGCGTCAACTTCAAAAAAAGATGCTCCTAAAAAATTTACGCACTGTAGGTTTTTCGTTGTTTATAATAAACTCTATAATTTTTTGTATGATTTTTTTACTAAATCCCGATGTACTGTTTGATTATTCGTCTGGAAATAATTAACAAATTTGATAAATTGTAAATTATAATTGGCGTTAATAATGAATTATTTGTAAATAATTCGTATCAAATATTTCTTGAAAATTCGATGAATAAATAACAGAAACCCTCAAATTCAATTTTCTCCTTCCCATTGTAAACTAAATAATTTCCACTATTGGAGATTCACAAATTTTGTAAATTAATTAATTAATTATTTCAATATTCGGAATAAGTGTGTGAAACTAATTTTCATGCTCAGTATTTGGTGTTGAAGCTGGGGATTTGACATCAACAACAACAGGACTCGACCTGGATTCAATGTTGGATAGAAGTGACTCTGATCTGAGTACAAATGACGCAAGAACAATTCGAAAACAACTGGAGGGTCTCGAGAACATGTACAGCGAGGTAAGAACCATAAAAAGTTGTGAAAATAATCCCCCAAAATCTCCATCCCTAAACTCTCGTCTTTACTGCAGGTGTTAAAATTATTGGGAGGAAGCGTGAAGAAACGAAGAAAAGCGAGAGGATTAACGAGTTATGGGTCAGTGTCTTCCCTTCCTACGTCTTCGGTATCCTCGAGGCCAGTTGCAAGGCATCATGATAAACGAAGAGCCCACGTAATTGACGACAGGATGAAAAAAGCTAAAGACATTAAAGTAAAGAGTCATGACCCTTAAAACCCTTTGGAATATTTCCATTTAATTTTTTAAAATTATTCCAGTGGTGTATTTATATTTTTATATAATAAAAATTGTAATTATTCACTTTTTAGAGCATTAACAAACGCTTTCAACGTCTCGAGTCACACGTAGTAACTCTGGCCCGATCAGTTGCCCATCTCTCTTCAGAGATGAGAACCCAGCATCTGATGATCCAGGAGATGGAGAATATCAGAGGTGAAATATCAGCATTGAGGACACAGACCAGTATGGCTATGGTCAGATCACAGTCTCAGCCTCTGCTCAAGGATTCGGAATTGCCTGCGCTGTCGAATCCCTCGAGAGTCAAGAAACTCACGAAATTCTTCGGTACTGAGCCACCGCTTATCAGATTGTTTCTCCGAGAACTCGGATATGAGGTAATTTTCCTCCTCTCCACTAATGAAACCTCAACTCCCCGAAATTAATTCTTTAATTAATCGCTTGAGATGACGAGATGATTCAACAAGTCTATATTCATTTGTGAAATTCATTTGTGTGATTGATTTATTTAAATTGCATTTCTCATTCAGAAATACGCAGCGGCATTTGAAAAAGAAAAAGTGGGAATGGTAGAGCTGCCTTATTTGAGTGAGGAGAGACTCCAGAAGATGGGGATACCCCTGGGGCCGAGATTGAGAATCCTCCAGGAAGCGAGAATATCTGTCTGTAAAGATCCAATTTACGTCGTTTGAACGCACGACGTTATATTCTCGTTAATTAATAGGATAAAAGGATGAAGAAGCCATCGCACATGAAATCTACTGTTGTGTGGATAAAATTCTCCTTCGAATGGCGAGGGCGAGTGTACTCGATGGGAATACGAAAATCAATATTCTGAATATCTTAATCCTAAAGCGATTTATTCCCACGATGAAATTTTCTAAATCGAGGAAAATATCAGACACTTTCTTATTTCACTTCAACTCACTGTAATTCGATAAAATCTCAGTATTAATCGAGAGATCGTCATGAGAATTTTATTCCCCTGATTATTATCTCCTCGACTGAAACTTCTGTTCGTCTTTTTAATTTGTTGCGCTTTCTCAATGACTGGAACGTACTAATTCAAATTCAATTTCTGGGATTAATTGTTTTAAATGAAATAATCTCTCGATAAAAACCATTTGAATTTAAAAGTCATTTAAAAAATTGACAATTCGAGAGAATTGTACATGTTCAATTACAAAATAGATAAAAATTGAAAAATCGATTGATCTGTCGAGCCGATTGGATCGAGGGATTGCGCTAAAATCGATTATTCTTTGATTAGAAAATTAATTATCGAGTTCATTATCATTTTTCAAATATCGGAAATGACTCACTGGAATTATCAATTAGTCGCGAAATTGACAATCATAGTGTGGGGAATCATTGACCCGAGGGGAATGGGTGCTTTTTTTTTTGTCAACTGTTAATGGACACGTGATGTTGTCTGATGACTCACGAGGGCAAACGATGGGGAGGGGAATTATGGATCAATGGGTCAAGTTTGCCAAAGAGTTACCGAATGGTTTTTTCTATATATTTTTTATTTCCTCCTGTATCAGTACTTCACATTTGTTATTCAAATCGGATAATTAAAATTTCGAGAGCGTTCAGGTACCAAAGAAATGACGATTGGTATTCCGAGTGCCAACAAAGTGCTTCCGGATTTATATTCGATTATTCGATTATTAATATGCGATTATTGTCTATTTAATCGATAATTCGAGTTATTTAAGATGGAATTAATTTTATGTACAGTTGTTTCACTAGATATTAAATGCGATCTAGGAATTATTTACTGATTAGACTCATTATTTTATTATCATTATCATCGATTATTATTCATTAATGTTAATTGTTAATTGTATTTAATAAACATTATTTTTTCGGTTTTTCAGATTGTTTTTATATGAATCGTAGGAATGACTGATGAATTTTTACTTTCTCTTTTTATACCTATGCCCTTTCTTTTTCTCACATTTATTTCTCAAAAAAAAAAAATTCGTTCACTGTCCGTTCGGTGTATCAATTATCTGAATTTCTCTGACTTTAATGACACGAAAAAAAATCATCAATTTTTAAATTCCAATTATAAATTAGCGATCACGAATTCTCGACGATATATGGTAATAGCCTCTTCGAAATGATATCATGTTTTTATTTTTACATAAGATAATGAATCGCAGTGGTTCCATCAATTTTTGGGAGGAACCACAGTTGAGACAAATTAATCACATCTCGTGTGTGTGGACCAGTTTCAAGAGGAAATGCACAATTTAACAATTGTGGTCAATTATTTTTCTAGTCAGTTATTTGATTGGCGATACGAGACTGGCACGAATGGGTTTTCTCTCCAGGGCAATCAACTGTCCCTCATCATTCATTCACTTTTGATCGGCTAATTTGTCCTCGTGCCTCACTGAGTGATATCTCCTTTAATTCCTCGCCTTTTCATACGAATACCCCTTCCAATTTACTGTCCATAAATTTAAAAAAACAGACATTTCCTTTTTTAAAAATGTGAGGCGGTGAAATTGTGTGGAAAATCTCTCGAAAATCTCTCGAAAAATCCACAAAAAAAAATTAATAAAGTTCAAGTGATATGAAATAGTCTGATGATCATTATTTCAATATTTTCTCTGAAAATTCCAAGAGATTTATAATAGCGTCAGTAATTCTCCGACGAAGATATCAGAAACAGTCGATTGAATGTTTGGGGATGTGCGTTGCATCACCACGAAGAAGATATTATCTAAATTGACCTATGCCCCACCTCGGTCCTGTCTTATCTGACCTTTTCTACTTGAAAGGCCCCAGCATCTACATTTCGCACAATTCGAATCGAGAGCTCAACACGGAGACATCAGGAAAAAAAATCATTTAGAATGATGAGGAATTTTTTTTTAATATTCGGTGCTGCCTTTTTAACACTAACTGGGGCTGAGGTTGTCCTGTTCCAGCCATGTATATACCCTGAGAGTAAGTACACGAATTGTATTGACAAAATAAATTTTTATGTTTATGAATCAATTTTACGGTTTTTTCCAATTTTTCGTTGTATATTTCTTGTTATTTTTAAAGAGTTCTGAGGACTCCTCAGAAAAATATTTTTCTCTCTGCGATTTTCCAAGGGATTAACTAGAATTTTTTACTGATTAAAGCCACCGGTTTTTTATTGAGCCTGAATTTATATGAGTCATGAATTACATACGTCAGGGTTACAGTGATTTTTTTTTTAACGAGTTATCAGAGAAATTTCTCGTTATCAAGGAATATAAAAATTTTCGTCTTTTACGTTGGAATCGTCGCCTTAGAATTTTGCTGTGAGCGTTAATTAATTAATTGCCTTATTTTTTTATTTTCAGATACTCAAATAAACTGTACAGTCCACGAACTTCGTATAAATCCCTGTCCCGAGGCTGCAGAAGAGAAACCATGTCGAGTAAAACGAGGAACCAACGCTAGTATCGAATTTGATTATACCACAAGTGAGTTTAATAATTTAAATAAAACAATTAATCCCCGATCTGTCAATTCCACCGCCATTCCCAATTCAATTGACAACGAATATTCAATTACACTCTCATTATGACATGTCATCATCTTCCAGCGGATTAAAATTATATCAAAGAAATGGAAATGTTAAGAAAAAAATTACGCGTTGATGTTATTTTTTATGACTAAAAAAGAAAAAAAAAGAAAAAAAAAGATTCTTTTTCTGGTGAAGATGACTTCTCGGTTTTCATTCCAACCGATTGGAGGGATTTATTGGGATTTGTTGTGATGACTTGACACTTGGATTTTCGTAGAATCGAAGGTGAATTCAAGAAATACTAATTGACGATGATATTTCAGACTTCGCTGCTGACACATTGGAGGGTCGAGCTTACTGGGCTAATCAGCTGATCGATTTACCCTTCCTGGGGATGAGCACCAACGCCTGCGCCTCCACCCCCTGTCCCCTCAAACCTGATACCAAGCAGACTTACAAAATGACTCTAGAAATATCCGAAAAGTACCCAGCTGTAAGTAATAAGTATTTAAATAAAATAACATAACGATATAATCCTCTCGGGGTAATTTATGGTATCGCGTATTGAATTAATCCATCAGTCTGGAGAATGTCAAAGTGAAATTAATTAATTACGAGCGACTGGACAGGAAGAAACATTCGGTTTAATTATCCAACAATGGGGGATCGTTCGTGGGTCGCTGGCCTGTAGATTAATAAATCGTTAAATTGTGAATCGAGCTGTCAACGAGGTACAATAATAGCCCATGATAATTGCTTCTCGTTTGGGGACTAGACCATTCGACGTGTACACCTTTTTCATTCTTCCTCTGGCTATTTGTTTGCTTCCAATAATTCAATATAATTCACACAGTGAATGAGAGCTTGTGGACAAGCT